GGGCTTGCGGCAACCACATGTAACGACCCCGGGCTGGACCCCGCTTCGTCCACGGTGAAAGCTGATCCAACAATCCACAGCGCGAAGTTGATGTATTTCCTCAGCGACCAGCACGGATCAGCTCTAGGCATGACGAAGTGGATATCGCCCCTTTTGGAAGGCCAAACAAAGTAGTTTCGCTTTCACAACGAAACACAGCATCTTCACGACATGGTGGCAGCAACAATACTACAGTGAGAATAAAAGTTATGCCTTCTTTCTTTGCGTGAACATTTGGGCTCCGTTATGCAAATCTTCCCACATCGTAACGTAGACATGTGGGGGCGTGTTAGAACGAGCTGTAGACGTGGCTGACTGATTATAAAGAATATCTCTTTGGATTTGAGACTTTAGTCTTTGCAACTTTACAGATCTTCTTTATGCACCAAGAGCTTGTATGACTTCAAAGAGAAAGGAAAAATTGAAATCGCATCATATGACCCCTTTAATTAACGCAAATAACATCTAGTAATCTGTTACCTGTAGAATACCCCTGCTATTGTGGATGCCCTCCTCCGTCCAGAGGGCGATGACTTTGTCTGGACTTGTGCATCCCGATCCATCATCCAGCCGGGTCAGCAGCCTCTGACCCACTGTAGCCGACAGTAAAGAAGGGGAAGTGGAACGCACCACACGTTCCTCAAGGGCCTGAGAGAGCAGAGAGAACGACATGAGGAAAAATAGAAAATACGATACGGCAAAGTTCAATATCAAACTGCGAGGAAAACCACTGGAAGGGAAAAACTGAGCTCTCACAGTCCCACCACACAATGCACAATGCTGTCCTTGACATGCCAGAGCTAGAGTCTCAATTCATTGCACTGACCACCAATAAACGTCCTTCTAATGTCGTAACCCTTAAGCTGGCTTAGCCTAATTTTAGCTCCAGCGACCGCCAAATATTCATGCAACTCGGCATTTGTTATCAAACGCTGAAGCCGTTTTTCACTTTAAATGAAGCCTGAACTTTTAAGTCCTAAATTGAATTGACCAGCAAATCAGAATATGTGCCTAGCTTGGGTTAAGACACTGTTTTAATTGATTTGGCTGGTTGTGCTTTCAGTAAAATCACCTCAGAAATGTCATCACTAAAGGACCCCAAACTGTCTTTACAATCCCATGTAAAAACATTACATGCAGGTATGAGGCCTGTTGTGCAGTACATCTCCTCAGCAGTGATTTTTTACATTATTTGTGCTTTCCTAGTAACAAGAGAGCAAAAAGGAGGCTCCATCTTCCCAATTAAGTTAATTGGTTCCAGCCACTGCAGCCCTCAGTAACTTGGCTTGATGTTGGAGTTCTGAAATGAATCCTGTTTGACAGTCATGCAATCATTTAACTGCCTCTTGTGTCTGTCTGCTGAGAAAAGTCATAAAAACATTGGGAAAGGCTTTGGTTGTTCATTCTTTCAGCAATTTTCTCTTTTATAATCAGCAGATGAGAGGAAAAATGGCAGATAAAGATTTCTCTTCTATATCGGTTACTTGAATTTGACAGTTTGGCATGCATTAAAAAATAAGCATAACAACATATGATTAAATGCAGATTACTGGAATACCCGTCGTCTGCAGCAAAAATTATTTTTTCAGCTGCACACCAGAAGTTCATGTACATGCATTAGTGTTTTGTTATTGTTGTTTTGTCATATTGTCTAGATATGTACACACTACTGGTTTGGAATATTTGAGAATAAATATGAATTTTTTTTAATGGATAAAGATTTCTCTTCTATATCGGTTACTTGAATTTGACAGTTTGGCATGCATTAAAAAATAAGCATAACAACATATGATTAAATGCAGATTACTGGAATACCCGTCGTCTGCAGCAAAAATAATTTTTTCAGCTGCACACCAGAAGTTCATGTACATGCATTAGTGTTTTGTTATTGTTGTTTTGTCATATTGTCTAGATATGTACACACTACTGGTTTGGAATATTTGAGAATAAATATGAATTTTTTTTTATGTTTTTTTTTTTAAAGAAGCCTTATGTTGACCAAGAATGCATTTATTTAATCAAAAATCCAGTAATATTAATGCAATTTAAAATAAATGTTTTTTTTCAATTTAATTTATTCCTGTGATGCAAAGCTGAATTTTCAGCAGCCATTACTCTAGTCTTCAGTGTCATATGATCCTTGAACGACAAATACTTACAAGTACCTTCAAATTTAAACTGAATTGTCAATATATTAAATAAGCACAGTACATTATTTAAATACTACCAAGTGCAACATAAAACTTTTAAGAAACAATCACATATAACTGCTTCTTTCATACATTCACTTCATTTGCAGAGAACACCATGCAGTCACACTCTTGCATACTGGTGTCAGCTTTTGCTGCAGATTGCTTGGCAAAGCTATATTTATTTTTGGCTACAATCTGCTTTCCGTTGCAACATCACCATGACCCTGACCTTTGAGATGGAGCGCTGTGGTTTGGGCCGAGCAGGGGTGGAGGTAGAGATGAGAGCAGCGTGATCGTGTTGTGTGAACAGCCCGCTCTGGAACTCACTCAGACTGACTCTCCCATCCCGATCCTTGTCTAGTTTCCTGAAGAGACTGTCTAACTCCTTTGCATTAACAAAAAACATGGATAACAGTGTTTAATGCACTGAATGGTGAAGGCATGTCACTATAAACTCTGTAAAGAGTAATTAGTAGCAAACAAGCAGCAAAGAATGTCCTAACTTGGTTAATATGATTACTAATCCTACTCTATACAGAACGTTACATGACTGTACCTCGGACTGTAAGTCCTTGAGACCGATGCGGTCACAGACAAGTGACAGCTCCTTGCGGTTTAGTGATCCTCCAGCTCCAACCCCCAGCTCCTGCCATACTGCCCTCACCTGCCCGTCTGTCACTTCCTGCTGAGGATCAGATGAGCGCAGAGGACTTCCTGTGCCATCTTGATTCCAGAGCTTCAACTGGCCTTGAATATATGTAAATCAAAAAGAATTAGAGAGCTGTGCTGATTTTTCATATACTGTATATAAACATGCTTATATTTTAGTAACATCTAATGTACCTTGTGCCACAAAATAGTGGTGTGTGGACTCCTTGTTGTTTCCTGTGTCCTCATCTGACTTTAGACTCTATAAACAGAGCATCGACAGTGCTTATTGAATACTGCACAGTATATACTCTATACTGCCTGCTATTCTTTAAATAAGCATCTAGGTATGTTATAGATGATTATTTTAAATTTTTTATCCATTTTATGTCAAAATGTCTTAATGCTTGACACATTTTGGAACACGGTAGGTCTTCCAGGTATTCCATAATTAGTGTGCACAGTATATTGTCATAATTAAAGATGCACAGCAAGAGTTTAACACAATATCTTGAATTAAGGTTTTGACTCTTGAGTGAAGCGAGTGAGCAGATGGAGACAGTGTAGCTGAATGAACTATTATGGCTCAGTGATCACAAGGAACACAATACAATCATCAAAAGGCATTCCATCCCAGCAGTCACTACTTCTGCAACACTGGACAGGAACAACCGACAGATACAAGCTCAAGAGTAATGCTGTTCATATCAGTACAGAAACACTGCACCGTACTAAACAGCTTAAACCATGCTCATATAAAGCCAGCTAAATCTCCCTGTGTGTACTAATGTGAAAGAGCTTATATAAGACACATTTTGGAGTGGGACCGAGTTATCTAATACTGAGAGTGCTTTCAAATTGACTGACACCATTAAGACAAATGCAGTAAAAGTAACTGTAATGGTGTTTGCTAACTGGGTACTGTACACTGAATACTGCCTATTGTTTTAGTGAAATAGTGAAACTGTATTGTATATGACAGAGCAAAGTCATATTTACAAATAGGAAACTCGGAATTTTAATGATACACAAGCTGCAACATTGGAAAGGGCTTGTTGATTTGAAACACTGCAGAACCACTGATCTACAGTATAATATACAGCCTATATCAAATCTATACCTAAACTTACATGAGAATGTAGGGTACATGTGTACATGAATTGATTTGTGCTAGTGCTATCTAGTGGTAGGTTACAGTTTGATTCAGACAGTAATTGACCTGTAAGATATCTGTGGTTTGATCGATGTAGATTGATCAAATGCAAAATAGAACAGGATACACTGATCGAAACAGTACACAGTTCACAGTACACAGTACACAGTATAAGCCCAGCTGAATATGGGACAAGCCACAATCAGTTACCATCAGCATTAAAATTTAAACAACATTACATAACTCTTCACAAACAGCTTTTCAGTCGGAAAGCAGAGAGCGGAATGTCTTTAATTAACTCTCTCTCTCAGTCAAATAGTGAATATTTAGTCAGAGAAAAAAAGCTACTTCATTTATCTCCACTGGGAAATTAAGTGAGGAACATCGCACATCTTTGTCCCTAAGGCATAGTTCATCCCTGACATCATGTACTCACTAAGAAAAGCGTTGATATACAGAGGTCTTTCAGAATAGGCTACTCTCTAATTGGGGTGCACAAAAACTCACAAACAATCAAAAGACATGAGATACTTTTAAAAGACTTGATTACAATTCATCAAGAATGTTCCTCAGCTTCTGCCTGATGAAAAGACAAATATGTTGTATTTTAGTCTATGACGCAGCCAAAACTACATAATTTATGTTGCATGACAAGGTTTGTGTGCAATATTTATCACAGCTGGTTGAATTATTTACATAAACAAGCAGTGCTGCTGCTCACATGGATGTTGTAAAAGACTATATGGACTGGAATCTGTGCTGAGGCCTGTGAATAATCAGCACGGATTCTGTCCATTCTATCCATCTCCTCATTCGACATATTTACAGTCATGTTAAAGCAACACTGATCTCATTACAAAATTCTGGTTAGGGGTAAATCCATGGAACGCCGTTTGCAACCCATTTTACTATCATAATCTGATGTATTTCTGGAGAAATCTGGGATTTTATAAAAAAAAAAATGTTATGAAAATATTGTGTATATATTTTTGAAAAGGAAAGTTGTTTCAGAGGTGAAACAAATTATTACATTTAGATTAAAAAACATGATGAAATCCTATTTGGAATAACATGAAATATATCATCATGCCCAATAAGACAAGGAAAATGCATTAAAAAAGTAAATTGTCAATTATGATTTCATGTTGAAATGCATATTCTTTTGTCTAATTATACTACGGACAACCATGATATATTTTATATTTATATACGTAATTTAAATTTATGCATTTGGCTGACACTTTTATCTAAAGTGACTTACATTGCATTCAATATACACTTTTTAACTCATTTTAATTACATTTTTTTTTTATAATAATTTTTCATGCAATCCCTGCGAATCAAACCCATGGCTTTTGTGTGTCATTCTTTCCTGTTTAAGACAAAAAGGACAGCATTTTCAATTACAATCATCTTACAATCATACTAATTCAAATTAGCTTTTATTTTATATTTTCAGCTTTCATTTCAATTTTACTATAAGTTTTAGTAATTTTATTATGTGCACGTTACTTACTTTATTATGTGCATGTTAACTTTATTACTTCAATTTGAACTTATTCATTTCAGTTAATTGCTATGGCAACATTTTGTTTTTTCTGTTTTTTTTTCATCCAGTATTTATATTTACAGTTTTAATGGCTGTTTTAGTTTTATTTAACAATGAAAACGTTGATCAACAGTAAAGAGTATAGTTACCAAAAATTATTGTTATTTTTAAAAAGACTTTTTAATGCAAATTACTACAACAACAAATACTACCACTACTGGCTACTACTAATAGTTTAAGACAAATTTAGGACCTTCATTAAATATAACATTTAAATAAATAAAACATTTCAGCTTCAGCAAAGTTAAATGTCACAGTGTGATCAGTCTAAATGATGATTTTATTAATGAAAAATAATAAAATCATGATAATCTTTAGCATTTTTTTAGCTTTTTGGAAGTATTCAACAATATCAGACAGCTTAAAGAACTGTTGCAAAATAGATTAAATATATTACATATCTAACACTTTTTACAGTCTTTAATTGTTTCAAATTTGTATTTAATATGTTCAAAACTTCAAAAAATTTAAAAATATGCATGGTATTATAATGTTATACTAAAACTAAAATTAAAACAATGGAAAAGCGCTTAACCTGTAGAAGGAAAAAACAAATATTAAGCATGCAGAATAACACAAGTGGACTTAGTTTGAACGATTAACTGCCACTTTGAATGATTACATATTTGTGGCATCTGTAATTGTAATCACAATTAGAAATTCGATTAATTGTGCAGCCCTACACCCTTGTGAAACCTTAAACCTTTTACATAGTACTTAAACTGTACATGTTCATCAGATTACTGTACGAGACACGGTGAGTTAACACAGAATCGCTAGTGACAGTGCACTAGAGTCGATTTAGAGCATGGAATCTCTCCCATTCACTGAAATAGCGTGTACTGGCTTACATAAAAGCTCTAAATATTTCAAACACTTATGAAACGTGAGAGGAGATCAGGAGAAGAAAAGGAGAACAGAGCGGGAGAGACGTGTAGAGAGAGAGAGAGAGAGTAAGAGAACGAGGGAGGGCTCTGGAATGCGAGTATGCATTTCTAAAATGAGAGGCGCAGTTAGAGGAAGCACCATGCCAAATTATAGCCAAACCCTTTCCTTCTTGTACTTCACATTATCGGGCCTTCTGACCACAGCTGATGCTTTGCACGCTGAGCTCCACCCAGACCAAGACCTCTAATCCTGGTTGAACACATTCGACACATTAAGATAAAACATGAACACACAGGCACTAAAACACGCCGGACCAAACGGAGCCTGGTGGGCTGGTTCATAAACCCCAAATGCTGGTCGTTGCCAACATAAACTGTACTGATGGACCAGCCTGCTTTCATTCTTGGATTGCTTGAATCCTCCACAGACTGTGACCTACTCTCTCAAGAAGTCTCAACCCAAACAGCACCGTTAGACTAGATTTTACACTGTTTTAGAAAATGTAAATGTTACCACCATGATCTGAGTGGTTTTGGGCTGTTCTACCCTTGTGAAAAAGAAGCATACTTTTAAAAAGAGTACTTATTGCACAATTCAATACACTTTATAAAATTGTTCAGCGCGCAGTATCACGTATTTTTAAGTGTGAACTGAATGTAATGTTTTTGGTTTAGTTTAAATTTATATTAAATTCAGTTAGATGATCTTTAGAGTGTTTTTGACCCACTTACGCAGGACTTAAGTACATCTTTAGATGTAATTTCATAATTATTTATATTGTGTTTGAAATATGGTTGAAGTGGACTATTCTATTCTAATATTGTAAAGTAAAATGTCCTTTTTATTGAAACTTGTATGTCATGTATTTAAATATAACTGCAATTACACATTTGTAATAAAGCTGCAGTTAAGTGCATTTAAATATATTAATGTTAAATGTACATTTCAACACATCAAAATAAGTGTACATCTTTAAAGCATGACAAGATTATTAAAATGTACTTTAAAGTAAAACTTTTAATTTGACATTATTACAAAATCACGCTTTAAAAGTGTACTTAATCATGAAACTGTCTCTCTTTATGTACACTTAAATGGCTTTTATTTTTTAATAGAATTAATACTATATTTAAAAAAAATCTACTTTTAAGATTACAAGAACAAGTGCAACTACAACTGCACATTCAGTATAATTAAGCACACAAGGAAAGCTTGTGATACTATAACAAATTCCTTGTATGTGCAAACATACTTGGCAATAAAGCTCTTTCTGATTCTGATTCTGATTCTGACCTCTCTTTCAGTTGTCATCAAACAACTGTAACTGTAACATCTTCAGTGAAGGGACATGTGAAGTGTGCATGAGCAAGAAAAACATCTTCATCCTCTATTGTTTCTAGTACCAAACCAAGATGGATCCAAAATAAGTCTTTAAAAACGAAACACATGGAAGGAGAGGTCCAGCAGCACAGGTTTGCATTTGCACTGGCTCTCTGGTCTGGCACTGCTCTGCACAAGTAAAATGACTCCAGAAGAAAAAGTACAGACACAGCAGAAACAACAAACCCCTTTTATGAGAGCTCCTGCTGTTTTTTGGGGGAAAAAAGAGAATGTGAAATGAGCCATGTTTTGATCCTAAGCCAAAAGTAACACTGAAGTCTGTTGAAGGTGGGGGCTGCACTTTGGGCCGGCACTTGCACATTCCACACCGTCGCACTTCCTGTCTGTGAAAAGCAGGTCGGCCCAGATCCATTCACTACAATCAAACTGAATCAGCTCTTTAATTGACTAACCATACGACACCTCAGGTGCACTGCAGTGTTAAGTGCTAATATTTAACAATGTCTATTTGCATACAGTCCCAGGATGACAATCCTATTTTCCCTTGAATCTCCTTTGAGTGTCATGTCAATTAGATTTTAAATGCATGCATTTTCAGTTATTAATAAAAATAATAATTCGACATAAAGTTAATATACACTACTGTTCAAAAGTTTGGGGTCTGCAAGACTTTTAAATGTTTTTCCAAGAAGTCTGTTATGGTCACCAAGGCTGTATTAATTTGATCAAAGAATAACAGTAAAAACAGTGAAAGCCTGAAATATTATTGTAATTTAACATTTGTGTTTTCTGTTTGAATATATTTTAAAAAGTAATTCATTCCTGTGATGCAAAGCTGAATTTTCAGCATCATTACTCCAGTCTTCAGTGTCACATGATCCTTCAGAAATCATTTTAATAATGATGATTTGCTGCTCAAGAAACATTTATTATTATTATCAATGTTAATAATGGTTGTGCTGCTTCATATTTTTTGAAACTGTGGCACATTTTTTTCAGGATTCTTTGATGAATAGTTAAAAAGAACAGCATTTATTTTGAAAAAATACAAAAGTGCCTTTAATGTCACTTTTGATCTATTTAATGCATCCCTCCTGAATAAAAGCATTAATTTATAAAAAATAAAAAAAATCTTTTTGACGCCAAACTTTTGAACAGTAGTGTAGGTATCATGAATTTTACCTCAACACTCTCCAGTGAGGTGGAGCGTCTGAGCTTGGCTCTCCTCACACCGTTTGTTTCTACTTTGTCAGTCCCAAACGGTGGTGAATCTTCTGAGACTGCTGTCAGCTCTAAGTCGGTCTTGTCTGGCCGTGATCGCCGCCCATACCGTTTGGTTCCTTTCACATATTTAGGTTTCACCTCCTCTGGGACTGCTAGAAGCACAGGGAGTGATGCTTTAGAGTGACAGATAATGAAAGTATGTCAGAAGCAGTCAAATTGAAATGGTAATAGCAATAGTAGGTGATCTCACATCATTTGTTTTATGTCACAACCTTTTTCATAAAATGAAAAATATGTTTGAAAGGAAATGTAAACCTAAATGGAACATCTCCAAACCCAGGTTCAATGCTTGAACATCTGTTTTTCATCATAGCTTTCAGGTATACCATTTTCAAAGATAATTTTAGTGTTGCACGCTGAGATTTCACAACATACACTAATGTACCAGTCTCCCTAATACATATATGAAAATAGACAAATGTTATTCTGGCTTTGATTTTAAAAAGACCTGCACAAAATGTTTCAGCATCTGTTTTACTTATTAGGGCTCCAGTGAAAGAAGCCATAACAATCATTAGGCATGCAGGTACCTGAAGGTATTAAGAGCCAATATTTTGCTTGATTTCACGAATATGCAGGAATGCCTGTGTTTTGTCTTCTTAAACATGTTAATAATAATTATGTCTTCTTAAACAATGCCTTTAATCCAAATAAACACAAAGGTGTTTAGGAAAGACATAAAAATAACACCAAACATTGGCTAAATTTAAAATGATGAACGTTTTTCTCATATTTGTGTTTAATTTTTCCAGAGACCCCAAAAAGTAAAAGTGTAAGAAAGCCAGTCTTAAAAACTGTTTAAAACTGTTTACATAAACCACAATGCTCTAAATACACACTACTTTTCAAAGGTTTGGGGTTCAAATTAGTTTTTTAAAGAAATTAATAATTTTATTGAGCAAGGATGCATTAAGCTTGTCAAAAGTGACAGTAAAGATTTTTACATTATTACAAATGATTTCTATTTCAAATAAATGCTGCCCTTTTGTACTTTCTATTCATCAAAGCATCCTAAAAAAATGTATCACGGTTTCCACAAACAGCTGTTTTCAACATTGATAATAATAAGGAATGTTTCTTGAGCAGCAAATCAGCATATTAGAATGATTTCTGAAGGATCAGAAGACTGGAGCAATGATGATGCAAATTTAGCTTTGCCATCAAAGGAATGAATTACATTTTTAAAATATATTAAAGGGGTCATGATGTTGCTAAAAATAACATTATTTTGTGTATTTGGTGTAATGAAATGTGTTTATGTGGTTTAAGGTTAAAAAAACACATTATTGTTTCGCCTCTATGCCCTGCCTTTCTGAAACACGTCGATTTTTACAAAGCTCATCGGTCTGAAAAAGCGAGGTGTGCTGTGATTGGCCAGCTATCCAGTGCGTTGTGATTGGCCGAATACCTCAAGCGTGTGACAGAAATGTTACGCCCCTACCATACTGTGATGATGCCCTGTCCGGCCGGAGCGACGAGACAAAAACATTAAAACCCATTATAAGCGAGGCATTTGTTGCATCTAGTGGGGACATAATTACAGATTATAATGACTTATACTGTCTTTTTACGCGTTGCATCGCGTAACATAAAACCATGTCTGCATTTGATATCGGAGAAATGACAAACAACAAGCGCTACTCTACACTGCTCAAAACTCGCGTTTGAATCTTCAGTGGCAAATTCTTTAATATAAAAAACGTACTTAGTCTGTGAGTCAGAACAGCCGGCATTGTAGTCTACTCTTCCAGGATCAGGTAACAGTCCTCCATAAAATGTGCTGCACACATCTGAATATTTGGGTTGAACTGTTCTGGAACAGTGTTGTAAATACAACTTAACCACTGATTTCTAGTCGTGTCCTCTTTTGGAAGACCAAACAAAGTAGTTTCGCTTTCACAACGAAACACACAGCGTCACACATGGCGGGCTAGAGTGAGCAGCGGTCGGCGGGCTTGCGGCAACCACATGTGATGACTCCGGGTTGGACTCCGCTTCGTCCACAGTGAAAGACGATCCGGTGATCCACAGCGTGAAGTTGATGCATTTCCTCAGCGACCAGCACGGATCAGCTCTAGGCATGACGAAGCGGATATCGTCCTCTTTTGGAAGGCCAAACAAAGTCGTTTCGCTTTCACAATGAAACACAGCGTCTTCACGACATGGCGGCAGCAACAACAATACTACAGCGAGAATACAATTTACGCCTTCTTTCTTTGCGTAAACATTTGGGCGGCGGTATGCAAATCTTCCCACATAGTGAGGTAGGTCTTCACGACATGGCGGCAGCAACAACAATACTACAGCGAGAATACAATTTACGCCTTCTTTCTTTGCGTAAACATTTGGGCGGCGGTATGCAAATCTTCCCACATAGTGAGGTAGGTATGTGGAGGCGTGTTAGAACGAGACGTTTTAGGTAGGCGTGGCTGACTCTTAACTTTTCTAAAGAATATCTCTTAGGATTTGAGACTTTAGTCTTTGCAACTTTACAGATCTTCATTATGCACCAAGAGCTTGTATCACTTCAAAGAGAAAGGAAAAATTTAAATCGCATCATATGACCCCTTTAAATTAATATATTTTAGATTACATTTCATAGTGTTGCTGTTTTTACTGTATTTTTGATCAAATAAATGCAGCCTAAGAAAACAACAAATACATTAAAATATATTACAGACCCCAAACTTTTGAATGCTAGTGTAACTAACCATAAATATACCAGGCTATTCATTAACAAATACAAATAATAATTTAGACAATAACACCAGGATGTGTTCAATTCAGTTCAACTACTCATCATGTTCCATCAACAATCCTTGAATCCACAAGGTCCAGACTGATTAGTAACAAAAAATCATGAAGATAAACACAAGCCTGGAAGCTCTGATAAGTCTGGAGTTACATAAAGGTAGTCAAGTACCTGGTTCAAGATAGCTGCTCTCCTCCTCTGAAGTACTAAAGTCCAAAGATCTTGACAGCACAACCACAAAGCCCTCTTTGAACTCTTCAAAATTCACCTGCAAACAGACATTATCTTAACATCTATAATACAGCATTAGGATGAGAGGCACTGGGATGCTCATGGGGGACAGCTTACCCTGGCGTAATGTTGTGGTCCAAGCAGAGTGTCCAGCAGCAAAGGGAGATGGGCATCTAAGCTCAGCTTGTGGCATAAGGCAGTAAGTTCCTCTTTGTCGAGATAACCTGTCCCGGTGGTGTCACAGCTGTCAAATTCAGCTTTCAACTGTGCCACATAGCGGTTCTGCTCCTCCTCATCCATCCCACCACATACTGCACAGCCTGCAAAGTCTGGGACATGAATGTAGAATTAAAAATGATAAACAAGTCTAGTGGCCAATCTGCATTGACATATGAGTACTAGAATCTCTAGCCTACATAGAGAGTAATTGATTGAATCGATCTGACAATCTAATCACAACATATTTTTGCATGGAGTTCATGATGCATTTGCCAATTCAGGCACATACCGGTATATATTCTATACATACACTACCATTCAAAAGTTTGGGACAGATTTTTTTATATATAAAATATATAAATAAACACTTTCCTTGAGCAGCAAATCAGCATATTCTGAAAGATCATGTGACAGAAGATTGGAGTAATGTTGCTGAAAATTCATCACAGGAATGAATTGTTTTAAAATATATTGAGACAATGCTTTTAAAGGGTTAGTTCACCCAAAAATGAAAATTAGGCTGCGTTTTACTCACCCCCGAGGCATCCTAGGTCTATATGACTTTCTTCTTTCAGACGAATCCAGTCGGAGTTCTATTAAAAATGTCCACATTCCCCCGGAACTGCTTCGTTTACAACAGTGAGATTCAAGTGATTATTAAGTTTTGAATACGGATATTTTTCTTACAAAAACGCATCGATTCACTTTTTTTTATGGAAGGGAGCTTTTTATTTCACGTCTTTTGGACTGAAGCAATGCAACACCCGCTGAGTGAAACGATAGAGCTTGAAAGATCAAAGACAATTTTTATTATAACTCCGACTGGATTCGTCTGAAAGAAGCAAGTCAAATACACCTAGGATGCCTCGGGGGTGAGTAAAACACAGCCTAATTTTCATTTTTGGGTGAACTAACCCTTTAAAGTGTAATAATATTTTGCAATACTACTGTTTTACTGTACTTTTGATCAAATAAATGCAGCCTGGGTAAGCATAAGACACTTTTTTCAAAAACGTTTGTAAATATATAAACACTATTTTAAAAGTTCGAATTTTGTAGCACTTTTTTAGGCTATGTATTTTACTACTACTTTACTACATAAACCCATGTATAGGCCTACATACTTTGTCTTTTTGTCCTCTACTTACACTGTTTTATGGTTTCTTCTGTTATCCTGCTGGCTTTATTGTTTTGAGGTGTGTTTGGTTTTTGCAAAGAATGTCATTGTATTGGTACAACAGGCAATAAATGACCAAAGTTTAAGTGTTTTGAGCCAAAAAAGCCTGAGCTTATCTCCAAGTGACTTCTGATAACGGTGGAGGACAAAGCAAACAGAGATAGACTTAAAATATCACATACTTATAGAAAGTTACTTTAAGACCAAGTGAATCCTAATGGTCTTCAGAATCATAAACACCCCTGACAGTCGAGTCAAAACAGGGTCTTTGGATGCTTTATCCTAATTCCACGTAACATTTTCACACACAGAATGCTGCATTATTAAATCTTACATTTGTTATTTGACAATAACAGACAAAAAGGGAAATGCCTTTATGAATTAACCCTATAAAGCTGCCTATAAAAGCCTTAAGGTGTCCCACAATGCAGCACGCGGTTTTGGTATACGTTCACCATGGGAACGAGGACAAGACTAATGTAAAACATTGTACTTTCCGTTGTAAACATTCACTTTCAAAAAGTCCCCGTGACTGTAGATGCGCAGGCGATCAACTAAAGTAAAAATGCCATAATGTGACATCTTACCGTTATAAACTCACACCGACTCCGTTTCCGTAAAAGTCACTTTATGTCCAGCAAAGTGAACGACCAAAACCGGAAAGATGCTTTGCCCGTTGAAGCGGACATAAGTAACACATCCGAGAAAAGTGTCCAGGCTAGAAGCACGCTGTTGCGGGCGAGGCACCCGCGCTCACCCGTCTGCACTCTGCAGCGTCCGCCGGAGCGCAGTAGCGTTAGTGCGGGGGCCGGGGAGGAACCAAGAGTTCCTGCTCATTCAGAGATGCTCCATTCTGCAGCCCCTGCTGGTCAGGCGGTGGACTCCAATGGGACGGGACGGAACCCCCACACTGGCATTGCGTTTCTTTGTTGAATTACACTGTGCCTACTGTAAAATAAAATAAACATAGTGTAGGCTATGCACTGCATTTTTATGCTTTGCGGTTAAAAGGGCATTTTAAAGAATCAGATGCACTTTACATAACAAGAAGAAACATTTGTGTAGTCTCTCTTATCTTCACAGCTCATTTGAGGGTCCACGCACACAGGGCTTTTATTAGAGACACATGCGGTGTTTTGAATCCACTCAGCTTTTCAAATGCATGATATTTTATTTAAAAATAAACTAGTTAACTTAAAGCAAAGCACGCTGTTCCAAACATGTTTAACTGTTTGTTCTGTACAACACAAAAGGGATGTTAGGCTTAATGCCAGTCACCATTCACTTTCATTCTATAGCCAAAAATGCAATACAGTAAACGGGTCATTCTATGGAAACGTCCATTTTTCTGTCCCTAGCCTTTACAGAAATATTACACTTGAAAAACAATTTAGTGTTACAATTTTTTTTAATATATATTTTAAAATAAAACAGTATGTTATTTGAACAATTATACCTTCTTGAGCCATCTGTGTGGCAATATTTGTTTTTAATTCATTATAAAGGATTCCAATCACCACAAAACTGCTCGTCCCCACAGCCATGTACAGAGGGAAAGTGCTTTATTTTGAGGTCAAAAACTGGTTTTTCTACCATTTAAAATACAATGATGTATTCACAACGATCAAATATATGATGTAAATGAAATCAAAAAACAAAATGCCAAATAAATATGATAAAATATATAATGAAAATAGTGGTCCCCTGGAGTTGTGTCACTGGTGTTACCGCTTAACAAAAATATTTTATTTTGAAATATAAAATCACACTGATGACATCACTTGACTTCCTTCCTCCCCTTTCCTGAAGATTTATGAAAAAAGGCCCATGTGAAGTCCACTGTCTCTTTTCAGTTATCAGAAATGTTCGCATTTATCTCATGATTTCATATGAAGCTTTTAGTGGAAGTCACTGGTATGACCTACTTTATTGTTAGGGAATTGTAAAAAACTAGAATACAAATGGATTAAACTACTCAATTTAGTGAGTATACCATGATTGGCAACATGTGGTTTGATACCTTGCAGCAGACATTTTGTAAAATGCATTTTTCATGAAAATTGCCACTGGTGTTACTGTCACTGGTGTTACCTTCCTTATGGGTAACACCAGTGAAGATCAGTTTATGGTTATGTTCTTTTACTAACTGCTTTCACTAATTGCCAAATGTAACAATTTAGTCTTAACTACTTAATTATAGTTGAAGAGCAAGGATCTTTGGTCTTATGTATATGTCACTGGTGTTACTTTTTTTTCCTGTCACAGTAAATAAAACGTGTCACATGTGACATGATAATAATTTTACATGCATAGAATTCTGCTTCACTCAAGAGTTAAGATATAAGGGATTGCATCATTACTTGTTTATAACAGTTTTTACAAATATTCTGATTGTTATAGCAAATACATGGTTGCGCAAATGAACTAACATCATTCAATCACACTTTTAACAAACCTGATTAAAATAAATAAAACATAATCTCCTTATTTTTTGCATTATCATTATTTTTCTGCAACTCTGACTACATGTACTGAAAGAATTGAGAAATAATGTTTCATAAAAACCTTTAAAATTGCCAAAGAATTAAGGTAACACCAGTGACAATGGTACATGTGGTCTTTAAATAAATGCACAAAAATATACAAAATCATTAAGCTGTCATTTATGTGTATTCATAAAGTCAAAAGGTAATATAATAATGTGATCTAAGTTGAAATGTTAAAAAAAGAAATACATTTTAAGACATCTTGCCATACCAAAAGTGGACGTTTTTGTAGAATGACCCAAATGGTGACTGAGAGGTTGTCATGTCTAACAGCTGATTTTGTGTTTCACAAAAAAAGTTTGGAACAACTCGAGAGTCGATAAATGATGACAGTCGTTTATTTTTGAAGGACCTAGTCATTTAGCGTCATCTGTTGTTGAAAGTACGCCAAGATATCTTTTGAAACTTTTTACGATTCTACTTCCAAAACCGCAATACTTCTAAAATGTTACTATCGTTTACTATCAATATTATGTCTAAATAATATCATTTGGAAGTCATTCTTGGAACACTGAATGGGTTTTAATTTAGAAAAAAAAATGCATTAAAGATTAAATCAGTTAAAGAAAACTCTGCCGTGCTTGTCACCGTGGCTCGGCTGAACTTATGACCTTTCACTGTTATGAAGTGTAATATTTTGCCAAGCTTCTCAATTCATCTGAGAAACATTATATTTGAATATTTCGATTCAGACCCCACAAAAGAAAATATCTGTTTCATTATTAATTTAATCTTTTTCTTAAGCAAATTTTACATCCACAAATGCAATTTTTTTCTGTCTGATTCAACCTATTACGAGTCACTGGTATGTGGAGGAAAAGTGGACGTTTCACCACCACTCGACAAACAGACACGCCCATACTCACGCTAACCATTGGCTACAATGTAACGCAGTCAGAAAAGACCCGCCCATCACCAGACTACGCGCGCTACCATTGGATACAATACAGCTCTATAAACAGAAAGAGCTGGGGCAAGTTCAAGCTCAAACCGGTGCGCAACGTTTTGCTACGGTTTCCGGGTTGAACGACATGTTTCCTGGAAACGGTGTGCAACGGGGTTTGAGATGTGTTTTCTCTTGTTTGGTGTGTGTGTCAAAAATGTCAGCCCAATCAGCAGCAACATGTATATAAACCACGCTGTATTAAAGAGACAGCTCGCACAATGTAATTAACATCCAAATAAATTCACAAGAGCAAGTATATTGTTTGCACATGTTTAATAACAGTAAAGGCAAAATAACTGAAATAATAAGGGCACAAGTATAGATCTGGAACTTCTTTAAGTCTGTCTAAATATCATTTAGTAATTGCAATGTGTTCTGGTCCATATCCTTTCCTTAGGAAGGTGTGCTAGACACTGATTAATGTGACATAAAAATACTATACATATTTATATATTTTGCTATTGTATTCTGGAGTGACACTTTCATAAACTTTTCTATACTGCTCTGATTATATAATGATAAATATTACAATATCATAGCACAACAACAGTGATTAGCAGTGATGATAATACTCACAATAAAAATAATGTCATATAGATCATAACACAGTCTCGGAGTATCCTTCACCTGAAATGTTTGTCTTTTCATCCTGAAATGCGAGGCAAATGTTGGATAACAATAATTAGGAACCACGGTTTCCACAAATCCCTTCACTCGATTGGGATATTCTCCTTTATTCTGGAGGGCAAGGGCAGTGACTGTAACATCGAGCGTATTTTGCAGTATTAAACACGTATTTATTCAGATTTCATCAGGCTCCGAAAATTCTTCAAAAAGAACACAAAGAATGGCCTTCTCAGCTGCCATAGTTGCAACTCTTGCTTCATCAGAACAGGGTGTTCAACGCACCACCGTTTCCGTTTAAAAAACGTTTTGCACCGTTTTTGTCGGGGCTGAACGCAGCCCTGAAGACATATCCCTGTGGAAGAACAGTATACGGAGCCTCACACAATCACAAGCCTCCACAAATTAGTTAGTAAGTATGCAAAACACTTTTAAGCTGCATGCAAAAGATTATGAGCTTTTGTATAAACTCAATGTTGTAATATAGCGCTATGTCCTAGTCGCAGGCAAATATATGGATATTCCAATATATGAACACATTGATGTAGAAAAACATTTCTCGTCAGTTTTTCTTAATCTTAGCATGCATTATTACAAAGCATTTTGGCTGAGTAATTGTTTTAAAATAAATAAATTGCTATAAGGTAAAGGGACATTTACCTGTCCTCCAAATACAGGTAGATAAAAGTAGTAAAAAGACGTGTAGAAATTTGTAAATATTACAATATCATAGCACAACAACAGTGATTAGCAGTGATGATAATACTCACAATAAAAATAATGTCATATAGATCATAACACAGTCTCGGAGTATCCTTCACCTGAAATGTTTGTCTTTTCATCCTGAAATGCGAGGCAAATGTTGGATCACAATAATTAGGAACCACGGTTTCCACAAATCCCTTCACTCGATTGGGATGTTCTCTTTTATTTTGGACGGCAATGGCAGTGACTGTAAGATCGAGCGTATTTTGCAGTATTAAACACGTATTTATTCAGATTTCATCAGGCTCCGAAAATTCTTCAAAAAGAACACAAAGCATGGCCTTCTCAGCTGCCATAGTTGCAACACTTGCGTCATCAGAACAGGGCGTTCAACGCACCACCGTTTCCGTTTAAAAAACGTTTTGCACCGTTTTTGTCGGGGCTGAACGCAGCCCTGAAGACATATCCCTGTGGAAGAACAGTATACGGAGCCTCACACAATCACAAGCCTCCACAAATTAGTTAGTAAGTATGCAAAACACTTTTAAGCTGCATGCAAAAGATTATGAGCTTTTGTATAAACTCAATGTTGTAATATAGCGCTATGTCCTAGTCGCAGGCAAATATATGGATATTCCAATATATGAACACATTGATGTAGAAAAACATTTCTCGTCAGTTTTTCTTAATCTTAGCATGCATTATTACAAAGCATTTTGGCTGAGTAATTGTTTTAAAATAAATAAATTGCTATAAGGTAAAGGGACATTTACCTGTCCTCCAAATACAGGTAGATAAAAGTAGTAAAAAGACGTGTAGAAATTTGAAATATTAAAATGGGCATTTATTTATATGTATGTATATTTGTGAGAATAGATAGATAGATACATAGGTGTGTGTGTGTTCAAAAGTTTTAATGACAAAAGTCAGTAAAACATTTTCGAAAGAAATGAACACTTTTCAAGGATGCATTCAGTTGATCAAAAAGGACAGTAGTGACATTTATAAATTTACTATTTCAAATAAATGGTGTTCTTTCTAACTTTCATCCTGAAAAAGCAAAACATGACA